TTTCTTGAAGATCTAACCGGTTTGCCACCCCACCAAAAGATTGAGTTCTCCATTGACTTAGTGCCTGACACAACACCAATTTCCATGGCACCATACAGGTTGGCACTCGTCGAGTTACATGAGTTGAAGATTCAACTCCAATAACTTTTAGATAAGGATTTTTTTCATCTCAGTACATCGCCTTGGGAAGTATCCCTTCTCTTTACAAAAAAGAAGGATGGATCATTGTGATTGTGTATTGACTACCGCAAATTAAACCGAGTGGCCGTTAAGAACAAGTATCCTTTACCTTGAATAAATGATTTATTTGACCAACTTAAGGGGTCCTGTTACATTTCGAAGATAGACTTGAGATCAGGGTACTATCAGTTATGGCCATTATGAATTTCTTGTCATGCCATTTGGTTTAACCAACGGACCGACTTTTTTAGGGACTTGATGAATCAAGTCTTCCAGAAATATTTAAACCATTTCATAGTTGTCTTTGTGGATGATATTTTGATTTATTCACCCTCTGAGGAGGAACACGTGCAGATAGTAGTTGACTTGCGTAGGGTGCACAAATTGTTTGCTAAATTGGAGAAGTGTGAGTTTTGGCTAACGGAGGTGAAATTTTTTTGGCATGTTGTGTCAGGAGAAGAGGTAACCATCGATTCCTCTATGATAGATGCGGTGCAAGATTAGGAACAACCTAAGAATGCATTTAAAATCTGGAGTTTTCTGGGGTTAGCCAGGTATTATCGCCACTTTGTGAGGGACTTCTCTAGGTTAGTTGCACCATTGACTAGATTGACAAGAAAGGGTTTCAATTTTGTATGGAGCAAGGATTGTGAGAAGTCGTTTCAAGAATTTAAGGTTAGGTTAACTACCACACTGCTTTCGATAATTCTGGAAAGAGGCTTGGGTTATACCATATATTGTGATGCATCTTAGGATGGGCTTGGTTGTGTGTTAATGCGAGAGGGAAATGTGACTTACCCTAGCCATGACTTAGAGTCCCGTAGCCATGACTTACCCTAGCCATTGGTTGTGTGTTAATGCTCTCAAAAACCATGTCAAGAATTACCCTAGCCATGACTTAGAGTTAGCAACGGTGATTTTTTCTTTGAAAAATTGAAAACACTATTTGTATGGTGAAAAGTTTGACGTTTTCTCCAATCACAAGAGCCTAAAATACTTATGGTTCCAAAAGGATTTGAATTTGCGCCAACGTAGATGGATGAAATTTATTGAGCATTATGATTTTTAGTTGCATTATCATCCATGGAAGGCCAATGTTGTCACCAATGCCTTGAGTTGAAAATCTATTAGTAATGTGGCAAGTGTGGCAATTCAGAAATGGGATATGTTAGGGAATATCGGTGAATTTGACTCGCATCTTGGCGAGTCTAGCGAGGGTGCTACCTTGTTTACCTTGATTGTATAATCCACCTTAATTAGCAAAGTCATTAAAGCACAACAAGGCAACCGTGAGATGGAGATCATTCGAGAGAGGATCTCCAATGAGAAAGAAAAGAAGGATTTGAACATCCACATAGATTTGAGTGTGAAGTATTTAGACTATTTATTTGTGCCAAAACATTGTAGAGAGGAAGTACTCTAAGAATTTCATCACTTATGCCTTGCGTTATATCCAGGGGGCACCAAAATGTATCATGATCTTAATCGCCAGTTTTGGTGAAGGGGTATGAAGCAAGATGTCACTTTTTTTTTTTGTTTCAAAATGCCTTACTTGTCAATAAGTGAAGGCCATCTAGTGGGTTTGTTACAATCATTGTCTATAGGCGAATAAAAATGGAAGCATATCACAATGGATTTTGTAGTTGGGCTCCCAAAAACACAACGAGGTAATGATGTTGTTTGGGTGGTTGTCGTTAGGTTGACTAACTCTATGCACTTTATTCCTATATGCATCGGCAACTCGATTGATTATTTGGTAGAGTTATCCATTAGAGACATAGTTCGACTACATGGGGTACCGGTGAATATTGTTTCGGATAGAGATCCTCGTTTTATAGCTCAGTTGTGGCAGAGCCTTCAAGAGGCATTGGGAACCAAATTGACCCTTAGCACCGCTTATCACCATCAGACTGATAGGTAATCTGAGCGCACAATATAGATTTTGAAGGACATGTTTATAGCTTGTGTCCTTGATTTCAAATGTGATGCCCCGGTTCTACACCATTGGTTGCAGTCAAGGGAGAGTCACTAATGAGTCCTGTGGTCAATAACCAGTAAGATCCCAGATCGCCAGAGGAGTCAGATTAGCCTCTCTTCTAAGTCCAGCTTTTTTAGGCAGCACACTACCCTTTTGACAGATCTTAAAAGGTATTGACACAAGGTCTCATAAGTAACGATAAGGTTCATACATGTAAATATTAAAGTATAAGTGCATAACAACCACGAATATCCTTAATTTCAAAAGCTTGTTCTATTACATTACATCCCAAAAGAAGCTTAAATCTTCACACGAGTCTTACAAAATAACAAAAGGAAATTTCTAGCCTTCCTAAGATAGCCAAAAGTCTTCGAGGGTTTTCGGCTCGTCGTCTACCGCTATAAGTTCCGCTTCGTCACCTAGCATGATATGTCGTGAGCTTTGAATGCCCAGTAAACACACACACACCCTACCCCTTTTTCCCAGTCCAACACACAATCACAATTATAACATCAAGTAATAAAGCATGATACTTCAATAAATAAATGAAAGGTTAAGTTAGATGTTAGCAACTAGAAATCCCCCAAAGAGATTTCGTCCTCCCAGCCACAAGAATCGGACGCGGATTATTCGGTATGCCCACTCTTTTGCTGCTTTGTTGTAGACCTAACCTCGGATGCCTACTAATGGTTATATACCGCGTAGGGCCAACCGCAGGGCCTCAAAAGAGATGGTAAAATAGGGCCTTGCCCAAATCCCTCCTCATACCAAACCACCTAGGGTCCGAATACAACCGCTCCGTTCAAGGGTTCCGAAAACCACTTGCGCAAGACTTTAATTTTCAAATAGGGAACACATCCCAACAATCCATATATCACATTTCTCATATTTTCATTAGTCAAGTGCTCAAAAACCCAATACCCTCCCAATTAGGTTTCCCGTTAAATTAAATGTTTTAAATCAAGTTAATCCAACTTACGAGACAATAATATCCACATAAGCATGCATCCCTAAAGCGAGAAAGATAAATAACATAACCATAACACATACAATATCATGCCAAGATATGATCATAAGCTAATAAACATTTTTATGAATACAAGGGCATAAAACATAAATGCATAACAAATTTTCCAGATTTAGCATCACATAAAGATTAAAATGAAAGGACTATTTTAGATCTTCCACCTGACTTAGTCTTCCTATGGTTCGTAGAGAATTTGATCTAGTTTCTAGAACATTTTTTGGAAATGGGATTACTTTTCTAGATTTTAAGTTATTTAAAAAAATAGTCCAGTGCTGTCCAGAATCTGTCCAGATCCGTCGATCGTTACGAAAAATTGATTTTATTGCAAACCGCTTAATGTTTTTTGATGAAAACAATTTTAGTTGAAAGCTAACTCCTTAGGGAAGGTTTTGACATAAAATAGAGGTCCAGAATATTTTTGTACATTTTTCTGGAATTTTTGAAAATGGGCTGCAAAAACAGATTCTAAGGTAGACTGTCCAAAACATGAAGATTTGTGAGAAAAGGGTTCCACCAAGGGAAAGTTTTCATTTATTTTGTGAAGAAAACATGCTAACAAACATATATTTACTCAGAAAGTTTGCTTGAAAGTGTGCCTTGGAAGGTTGAGAGATTGGTAATAAAAGAGGATGGTTTTGTGCCAAAAAGGGGAAAATACAAGAGAGATGGACTCAATGCTCAAATCTTAGAAATTTTAACATAAGAACTTGATATTAACAGATCTGAAAAACATTATTTAGAATCTTTAAAAACATGCATTAGAAAAGGAAATGAATAGAAGGTTGTGTTTGTGGCTTACCTTCTAAGCTTTACACAAGAAACTCTTTTCTTTCTCCCTCTTCTCCTCTAGACTTGTCTTCCTTGCTCTCCTCCCTCTCTCTAACCAAAATGTGTGTGTGAGTGAGTGTGTTGTGTGAGTTTGCAAGCTACGGGTGTGGTATATATAGGCAATTTTTGATGTAAAATGTCCTAAAAGCCCACTAGTTGAAAAAGGATGGAAAGTTTAGGATTTGTTTGAAGTGTTAAAGGAAATAGGGATGATTTGGGAGGCTTCTCAAGGATTTGGCAAGATTTAGTTAAAATAGAACTAGTTTAGGAATTAGCATCCTAGATCTAGGGTACTAGGTGGTGTTTCTTTCTAGAATTTCATCATGATATATCTTGAAAGTTGTCTCCTCACTTTTTCCTAGAATGATGGGTTATTTTTTTTTTATTAATTTTAGGTACAAGGGCACATCCCTCAAGGTGTATACACACATATATATATATATATTACAAGATTGATGGTACTTCAAGATACAAGGTACAAGTACTAGTTTTTGGGGCAAGTTTTGAATTTAAATAAAGAGTGAGGGCTTGGAGTTAAATACATGTAACTTAGGTAGAATTAAATTAGGTTAGAGAACCTAATCCGGTTAGGGAAATTTCTGTTTCGATAAAAATAAAAATAATAATGCTAACTGACGAGATTCGAATTAATTCAAGTAAACGAGGGGCTTTAAGAAAATAATTCAAACATTAGGGTTTTTAAAGTGAATACATATTTCAGGAGCTTCACATCAAAGGTTCTTGAGAGAGGCACCTATTGTTGATTGAGTTTGCCTACAACAACAGTTATCAAGCGAGTATCGGGATGGCACCATTTGAGGCCTTGAATAGCTGACCTTGTAGATCACCAGTTTGTTGGCCCGAGGTAGGAGATGCACTAATATTACGCCCAGAGTTAGTTAATGAGACAACTGAGGAAATTGCTCTCATTCAAAAGAGGTTGGCTACGGCTTAAAGTCGACAAAAGAGTTATACTGATAAGAGAAGATGGATTCTATATCCTTTGAGGTTAGTGACCACGTGTTTCTTAAAATCTCATCGAGATGGGACTTGATGAGATTTGGAAAGAGTAGGAAATTGTCTCCAAGGTTTATTGAACCTTTCAAGATTTTAGAGCGGGTTGAGGAAGTGGCATATCGTTTGGCCTTATCACCACAATTTTTTGGGGTTTATGATGTGTTCCATGTGTCCATGCTTAGGAAGTACGAACCCAATCCTTCACATTTACTTGATTGGATCGATTTAAAGGTAGATGATGATGCCTCATATGAAGAGCGACCGGTTCAAATTCTGGATACCCGAGAACAAATGTTAAGGGGTACGACCATACCATTAGTGAAGGTGTTGTGGAGGCATCACGGTGTTGTGGAGGCATCACGGTGTTGCGGAAACAACTTGGGAATGAGAAACGTAAGTCCACTCTAAATACCGGATTTGTTTAACAATGTTTAGTTGATTTTAGAATGGTTGTATATCTTAATGTTATTGTAAGTGTAAGGCATTGTATTGCTAACTACTTCTTGTTGCAATTGTTGTGATTTTGTACATGGAGATTGTTATTTAAATTCCATGTCTATGGTTATGATAGTGGTTGTTATTGGGGATTGTGGTTATGGCACTGGTAAGAAAATAATGAATCATTTCGGGATATCATTGAAATTGTGACCCTTCGAGGTAAAAACTAAAATGTTGTTGTGATTGTAGAGTTAATTTTGGGATGAATATTATCATTTGTTATACCAACGGGTTACTTTGCTGTTGTTTAGGTCATTAGGGCTTTGTAGTGCCATTATGAGTGGCATTTGAATTTCGGGGACTAAATTTCCTAAGGTGGGGAGGTTGTGATGCTCGGGTACATAACCCATCTTGTTTTCCTTTAATCATGTTTATTTTACTCATGTTGGAAGTATTGTGAACTAATCTGAGGCCTCATTGGCTATTTAGGTACATCGCTCTCGAAACCTTTATGGGATTTAAATCTCCATTTTTTGTTCCAGAGTTAAGTTTCCTTGTTTTGGAAGCGTCGTTAGAGTCGAGGATGTCATGGGCTTGCCAAGCTTATAAATTGGAGAACAAAACCGCACGTGCGTGGGCTTGGGTTGCACATACGAAAGCGAAGCCATACGTACGGGAATGTGAGGTTGCACGTGCAGTAAGGGAGTGTTTTCGAGGGATCGAAACGGAAGGTGAGGTCGTACGTGCAGGAGACGTGCTGCACGTATAGAAGTAGGTGTCGTACATGTGGTGAGGTGGGTTTGTTTGAGGTTGTGTTCTGAATTAATCGCACGTGCGAGGGAGGAGTGCCGCACATACGAGAGTGGCGCCGCAAACGTGGAAGTACCTGGGAGTCCAATTCTTTTTTTCTTTTCTTCCCTTGGGCTAAGCACCCACATCACTCTTCCCTCATCTCTCTCTCTCTCTCTGTAAAACACATTTCTCTTCCTTCTCTCTTCATTTATTCTCATCAACCTCCATTAAATCTTTGATTTCTCCAAATCCATTTGAGTTTTCACCTAAGTTCCTTCATCAAAGTTATAGAACTCATCGAAGGCTACATTTTGTGCAGTAAAGATCAGATTTCAACACCGTCAATTTTGGGGGTTTCTTCCATTTTCTTTCCTAAATCTTGAGGTATGTAGTTTCTTTGAGTTATATATGTATATGTTTTTTGCATGTTGTAGTCATTTTCTTGATATTATCTTTGTGTTGTGAGTTAGGATTTGAGTTAGAGTTTTGAATTTGTTTTAAAAAGGGATATTTTTCATTCCTCTCATGAAATTTATTCTTATTTACAAAATGTGTGACTCTTGGAAGTTCATTGGCAAGAACACTTCTAAAAAATGTAAGAAACTCTTTTTGGGTGGAAACCCTAAATTTTGAAAGTTGGGAAAGTATTGAAATTATTGAGGAAAAACTCATGGGAACATGAGATTTTGTTGAGATGGATGAAGAAAAATCACATGTTGTTATGTTATTAAATCGTCTATGAAGTTGATGGATTTTTGTTCAGAAATTACCATGAATAGTATAGTGAAAATACTTGGATGAAATATTGGAAATTTTATAACATTGTAAGTATGGATTGTGTCATATGTTACATGGATATGGTTATTGGTTATTGAATAGAGAGATGTTCATTGCATTATATTGAAGGCATAATGTTGAGGAATATGGAAATTGTAAAGTTTCATTTACATACACTCATTTGCATAGCTTTGAATACCGATTATTATGGCTATATTTTGGAAATGAATTCATTGTTTCGAGAAAACAACTGTTGATCTTAAAAAGGTTTTCGGGTAAATATGTTGGTAAGTCCGGCTAAGAGGTATAGATTGGTATTGTTTAAGTTGGCCTGAGTGTCCAGGGTGAAAGATTGAAAGCACCCGCAGAGTAGATACCATGTGCCTTCCAATTAGAAGTCGGTAAATTGGGGATTGGTAGTGCTTGATATGCCTACTTGTAGATACTATTCTATGAATTACCTGAGTCGTGTTTACCACCCCTCTGTGTATTATAAAATTGTTGAGATAATGTATCTTTCAAAAAACATTGCATATGATTTTCAAAAGGAAATAAAAATATTAATTTTGGAGCATGACGTTGCATAGCATGCACATTGTGAGACTACTTAAACATAAATATTTTGTTAAGATCTTCCTACTGAGTTTTGTGCTCACCCCTAGTGGATTTGTGCAAGAAAGGATGTGGTGATTCTACCTAGCTTAAGGCGAGGAATATGTTTTGAGAGCATGAGACACTTTTATTTTTATTTTTTTGGTTGTATATTTTTAACAAACCAAGAGTTGTAATTGTATGGGTTTTTTAATAACCATCTTTTTTGTGTAACCAGGTTTAAGTTTTGAAACTTGTATCCTTTAGAGTATTTATTTTGTGTTATCTCTTTTGTTTTCATTATCGCACATGCCACGGATTATTTTTTTTTGAAGTTTGAATCGGTATTGCATGTGAACTCCTTTTTGTAAATCTCTTACAAATATAGAGATTTGACCACTTGATTTGAGATTAGTGTAATTGAATGGATTTTATCTTTGTCATTTATTTGGGAGTGTGACACATATCCCACTAATTTCAAAATTGTCAAACTAAAAAAGAAAATTTGAAGATTACAATTGTATGTAACTGTAGACACCCCATTTTTGACTGCCCTTAAGACTTGGGCACTACTGATGGTTTACTTGTTGGAGAAAGGTGTGCAAGGCAAAGGTTCAGTTTCTTCGACAAGGGGAGAGTCAAATCTCAACTTCACACCCCTTTTGGACCGAAACAATCTTGATCAAAATATTTTGGACCTTGAAACCCTCTCTTCCAAAATATTTTGAAAATAAAGTTCCTACGATGTTCCGATGCTCGCATTTCGTTAAATGTTGTGCTTTTTGGTAAACCGAGCAAGGACAAAGTGGAAATGAATGAAAGAGATGAGATCTTTGAAAAATCTTTCAAAACACCTTACTTAGGGGTTTGGAGTTGAAGAAAAGAAGAGAAGGGGGAAGAAACCCGGTTGGGGGAGGAAATGGGCATGAACCGTTAAGAGAAGGACGAGCAGTCCTCGCTGAATCAGGCCTATTCATTTGCATACTTGGATTTCAGCTATGAGGCCACCACCATTGGAAAGCTTACTTCCGAGGTTTCATTTTTCACTCAAGAATCTCCTAAAGCCAAGTCCAGACGGGGGAGATATGGTTGATTGAAGTAGGGCATCACTCCGGTTGGACCGAATCTGCGTGGCTTCACCAAAACAGGCATAACTTTTTTGCACAAGAGGAATTTTGATGCAAGGCTGGTGCCATTGGAAAGTTAACTTTTGGGGCTTCAATTTGGACACCTGGCCGACCACTTTTGGACTTCCCAATCACTAGCCGACCACCTTTCTTTCCGGAAGACCAATTTTTTGTCCTGAAAAACCAGAAAAAGTAGCAGGCCGACCAGAAAAGGTGGTCGGCCGACCACCTGAACCTTTTGACCTGGTCGGCTGACCAGGGAAAGTGGTCGGTCGACCACCTGAACTGGTTGACCAGCTTTCTCCTTTTTTGTCTCAATGAGTTGAAGCCAGCTGTGCCAACTAGAAGCCTCAGAATGCATCCTCCATACACGTGTATGGAGAATGTTTAAGCTAGCTTTTAAGCTTCTTGGAGAAGCTTTAGACCTCCTCTATAAAGGAAAGGGCCCTCTTCCATTGCTAGGGTTTAGAACCTGTTTTGAGCATACATATATTTTCCCTCCATATCTCTATATTCCAAGCTCCAAAAACCCTTGTTCTTGGTCCCATTGCACTACACCTCCGAGCACAACACCTCCATTATCAACCTAAGCACCTAGGAGTTCATTTTCAAAGGTTGGAGAGTTCCTATTTTGGTCCAGAAGCTGCTGGCCCTCTGCTCTATAAGGGTAAGACACTAGTTCCCTCTTTTGGCCCTTATTTTGCTTCATTGTTTAGCCTTACTTGCAAGAATTTTTTGGTTTCGTCATAAACTTAAAAAAAAAAAAAATTTTGAGCTTATAAACATGTTTGTTTAAGGTCATTTTTCTGTTGGGGGTCATCTACCCCCTTGCATGCTTCATTTCCTCTTGTTTTGAGCTATGCATTAGAGCATTTGTGTTGGCCTTGGTTTGGCCTTTTAGCCACTGAAATCTACATGTGTTTTTGAGCCTTAAAATCAGAGAGTCACCCCTTGTTTTGTTTACTAGCTTTCTTGGCCTTACAAAGGAGGCCCCATTTGCATGTTTTGAAGCCATGTTTCAGGCCCCTTTTTGTGAGTTTTGTGACCTGCATGAACTCTGTCCAGAGCCCTTTTGGCCATATTTTGTGTCCCTCATGCATGTGTAGAGCAATCCTCCTCAAGGCTTTTCAAAGGGACCTTTCATTGCATGCTTGTTTGACCCATTTCAGGCCCTTTTCAGCGAATTTTAGGGCTGTTATAATCTCTTTCCAGAGGTAGTTTTGCCACTTTATATGTCCATCATGTATGTGTAGAGTAATCCACCTCATGGCCTTCCAAAGGAACACTTCATTTTTGCATGCATTGACTGAGTTTCAGTGGTTATTTGGGCATATTTTGGCATGGCATACTTCTTTTTTTTGCTGGTTCAGTGAGCCCTCATGTGCTTCACATACTTGTAGTGTAAATCATGGTTCACTAGCTTATTTCGCATGCTTTGTTGACCCTTGATTTTAGCTCTTTTTGGCCATGCCTTAAACTGATGTTGTGCATATTTTGAACTGCCTTAGCTCTACTTTCAGGTCTCATGGTCGAATGATGTTTGTTTTGCATGCTTGTACTTCAATACCCATGCTTAACTTTGAGTTTTGAGGCTCATTACATGTATATACTGAGGTGTGTTCATGTTTTGGATCCATTTTACATCATATTTCAGAGCTTGTATCAATGTCATATTGCCATGTTTTATACTCTTTAAATGCGTTTAAGAGTCAGGCTTGTATGCCTCATATGGCCACTGATTTAGGCGCATCTAAGGCCTCTCCATTTTGGTATAAGTCCATCATGCATTGTGTATGGCATGTTACAATGTGTTGTGCATGTTATGTTGTTTTAGGCATTGTGTATGCCATCTCATTTCCTTGCATTGCGTATGCTAGGTTGTTAGTCGCATTGTGTATGCCGTATGGTTCATAGCATTGTGTATGCTAGTAGCATGTTTGCATCTCATCCTTGCATGTTTGCATGATTAGGTCGCATTACATTAGGATTGCATGCTAGTTGCATTTGTGCATGTCATGCCATCCTTATTTGTTGCATTGTGTTTAGAGTAGGGTTTAGTCCAAATACGGGAAATGAGGGACGTTTCGTACTCCAAGTGACGAAACGTGCCTCGATTCTTGGTCGCCGACACTCTTGACTGTCCATGATAGAGTTGTTGGCTTTACTTGCTTATATGTGCATTCATTTCATATCGAGTCGTGCAATTCGACTCCTCGGCCATCATGCATCGAGATGTGTGATTGGTGGCACAAGGATCGAGGATTACATCCCCCTGAGCTTGTGCAAGGATAGGGAGAGTGATCTTGCACACATATGTTGAAAATACATTGCCTTCTCCCTCTCTTGCCTTTGTTGCAGAAAAACCAGAATCCAGGGGCATAAAGTGGTCGGCCGACCAGGTTTTCTGGCAAGCCGACCACCTTTTTTGGTTCCCACCACAAAGGGTGGTCGACAGGTGTTTCCCAAGCCAATATCTGGTCGGCAGCCTTCCCAAGGTGGAGTTTCAGCCTTCTGGAGCTTTGTGCAAGTTTCTGAGATCAATGCAAACAAGGGTGAAGCGAGGCATCGCGATGGAATTTACCGACGAGGCGACGCGAGCATGCATGCATCTTTCATCATTCGGAACAAGAGCTGAGTCAGTCCATTTTATAGCTTGCATGCTAGTTTATTCGCTTTCCTAGTTAATTTGTTAATTAATTAGGGTTTTGTAATATTTAATTTGCTAGAGTAGTTAATTATTTATTCGGACTGTATTATTTATTCGGACCCTCCGAGCGAGGGCACAATTGTAATAAGTGTGCGTGTGTGTGATGTATGTCTTCCAACCCCACGTCTTTCTCTCTTTTATTTACTAGCTTATGATGGTTAGATTAGGGCATGTTTCAATTAGCATACTTATGCTAGCATGTTTGCATTCATTCATCTGTCTTGCATGCACCGGGCTCGGCGCATCATGCTAACTGCATTGTATTTCAATTCTGAGTTGAATACGCGTCAGCTATAGCATCTCATATGCCATTCTTAGGATAGCCG